GAAAGAAAGAAAGAAAGAAAGAAAGAAAGAAAGAAAGAAAGAAAGAAAGAAAGAAGCAGGTTCCTGCTTGGGTTTCTTTCAAGTAATTTTCTTGAGGGCGGATGAGTGGTGGCACCTGATTTATTTTCATTTATTGTATGGAATAAAGGGACTTTCACTAGCAAGAGAAAGTTCCCAAAGAGGGGATGATGCTACAATCTAGGAAATATGGAAGGTGGTTCTTGGTCTGAGTTTGGATGGTAACTAGCAACGCCCAGTGGGAATGACAAGTCTCATGAAGAAGGTGGTTTATTTGCACTTGGTTTCAGGATGTTGGTGTAATTCTCCTGGAAGCTGTCTTTGAAGAGGTCTAGGCCAAGTCTGCTGATCTGATAGGGGGGATTCATTTCAAGAAGCAGAAATGTCACCCAATGAAATTAAAAAGAACTGGGGCAATTCTGCTCTAAGACTCCAATATGTGCCACCACCCTTTCCAAGAGCTTCTTTTTGGATTTGTCATCATTTAAAGAAAGGGAGCTGTCTTTGCAAAAATCTCTGGAAAGATTCTACAATTCCCTGAGCTCTCCCAGGTCAGAAAGATGATATTCCCAAATTTAGAATAATAGAAATTTCTCAGAGGTGGTGATTCTACAATCTGGTAATATGGAAGGTTGCTATTGGTTTGAGCTTGGATGGTAACCAGCAAAGCCAGGTGGGAATGGCAAGTCTCATGAACATGGTGATTTACTGGCAGCTTGGTTTCTGGATGTAAGTTAGGGTGTCATCCCCCCAAAAGCTGCCTTTGAAGCAGTCTAAGCCTATTCTGCTTTCTTCTCTGGCTCTGGTTCACTTTGAGGTTCCTGGGACCTCAAGGACCATTAAGGACCACTAAGGTTTGCCTTTGAGCTGGCAAAATACCTTACTAAGACTACCTGGAGTACAGGGACTAGGGTGCGATCTGCCCCACTGCCTCCCTTCCAGGAAAGGAACCCAGCCAGCCTCGGCCTGCCTAGCAGCTGACAGCCCCTCTATGATGTGGGGCCTTTTTGGTGGTGGATTGCTGCTGCCACGGCCTCTCTAGCTTCACATTCCCCATGTGTCTGCTGCTGAGTCTTCTCTGGGGTCCTCAAGTTCTACAGACTGGTACTGCCAGATCTCTTCCTAGGCCGCCTGCTAGCTCAGTTTTGGCCCCCCATGTCAAGTCCACCAAGGAGCCTTTTGAAAGGCTTGGCTCCTGCTGCTGGACCATCCCAGGCCTGTAGCTCCCCCTTTCCTTGCATCTTTTCCTGCCATTGGCGCTGCCTTCTTTCTGCCTGCTTCAGCTGCTGCGGCTTCAGGCGTACTTAGCTGGGCTGCAGGTTCTTCCTCTAGGTGTTAGGTATTCAGAGTTTTGGCTCTGTACCTTGATTGAGGGGTCGGGGGCGACTTCTTCAGCTCTTTACCCAAAGAAACAATGTTTCATTCAGCATCTCTCTCACTCTCTATTTCCAGTTAACTCCAAAATGTAAGAAAAAAGTCCCCCTTCTCCTTGCTAGGACTGCTCACTTCTCGGCTGTCAATTCCTCTTTGCGATCTGCACAACTGCATCCAAAGGGGCTGTTTTGAGGGAACCGAACAAGGGAGGGACTGCAGGGCAGATGTTACCCTTTCACAAAATTCGGTGTTAAGAATGACTAACTATGCGGAATGCTGGAAATAGTAAGTGAGAATCCCAGAAGGAATAGAAAGGCCATGTGGTGCCTTTCGGTTAAGAATTATTCACGTTCCAATTCTCCCAAAGAAGGAAATTGCTTTCTCAGTGTGTATGGTTGCAATAAATAGCTGTATTAATAGCTGCAATAATAGGAAACAGACAGAACCTTTGATTTTACTGCAGCACCATGTATCTAATGCATACCAGAGCAATAGGAATGAATAGGGTGGTGCACGTTTGTCTGGTCTTCAGCAAAAATTATCTATCTATCTATCTATCTATCTATCTATCTATCTATCTATCTATCTATCATCCATCCATCCATCCATCTATCTATCCATCATCTATCTATCCATCCATCCATCATCTATCTATCTATCTATCTATCTATCTATCCATCGATCCATCTAACTATCTATCTCTCTATCTATCCATCCATCTATCCATCCATCCAACCATCCATCCATCCATCCATCCATCCATCCATCCATCTATCTATCATCCATCCATCCATCCATCCATCTATCCATCCATCCATCTATCTATGTATCATCCATCTATCCGTCCATCCATCTATCTATCTATGTATCATCCATTCATCATCTATTTATCAATCAATCAATCAATCTATCTATCTATCTATCTATCTATCTATCTAT